CTCTTCAAAGGTTGGAAGTTGTGGAACTTGGAACCTTGGTTCCGTGCAGGGGAGAGCTTCAGCCACATTGCAATAAGGACAGCACTACTACATACCTACCTAGCCCAGTACATACCTAACCTTAGCTGCTTACCATGCAACCATGCAGGTGTAGGTATCGAAATCATCTTATTACTAACACTTCCATCTGATAATATTTATATTTCCTTAGGTAACCTACTTACTTAACACCTCCTTTTTTTTTTTTTTCTTTCTTCACTCCCACTCCCTCTCCTTCTCCCTTTCTTTCCATTTTTAAATCTCACAGCATTCTCCTTACTCAACCCTACCCAGACTCCCTCTTCTCATTCATCAATACCGTAAACAACACCATCCCCGTTTCCCCCCTTTCCCCCCTTCTCCCTTCTCCTCTCCTTAGCTCCAATGGCCCGGCAGAGAAACACACCAGCCAAGCCGGCGGCGGCCAAGCGCAAAGACGCCGGGCCCCCGGCGCCCTTCAAGCGGCCGCCCGAGGTGCTCGCGCCGCTGATCGCGACGCTGGACGAGAAGCACGCGTACATCATCCACGTGGACCACAAGCCGGCGGGGTTCAAGCGCAAGATCTTCGCGGTGCCGGTGCTGATGAACCTGGCGGTGGCGGCGCTGTTCGCGTGGCGGGCGTGGTACGTGGGGCCCTACTACCTCAGCATCCTGGCGTCGGTGCTGGGGTACGCGAACGAGGCGACGATGGTGGTGGACGAGATGGAGTGGGGGGAGATCGCGCCGGTGGTGCTGCGCCGCGGGCTCACCTTCGCGCTCGACTCGCTGCTCTTCGTCTTCCTCTGGCCCTGGCCCGTCGAGTTCTTCCTGCGCCGCGGCGACCACGGCAACCCCGTCATGTGGCGGTACAACGTCGGCTTCCGCGACCGCGAGGTCGTCGTGCGCCGCAGCCGCGCCTGGCGCGACGGCGCCGGCGACTTCGTCAACGACGACACGTGCAAGAGCCTCTTCATGGCCCGCATCGGCGCCGCCACCGCCCCCATGGTCATCGGCGAGAAGACGGGCTACGTGCTCATGAACGAGCACTGGGACTTGGACTGGGCCGCCATGGTCGACGCCACCATCATGGTCGACCAGAAGATGGCCGCCCTCGTCGCCTTCACGCTCGTTGTCTTGGTCTTTCACGAGGAGTACGGCTGGCTCTGCGTCGACATGAAGGCCGAAGACGACCTGCAGGAGGACGGGAGACGGCGGCAGGTCTTCGCGTTCCGGGATGCCCTCGCGGCCGTGGGCAAGGACGACCTGTTCTACCGCTGGATCGAGATCATCCAGTTCGAGTCGTCCCAGCCGGGAGGCTTCGGCCCCGAGAAACAGGAGAAGGCGGCCAAGGAGATCAGGGACATGTTCCAGAAGGACGGCATCGACTTCGACCAGTTCTGGAAGGACAGTGTGGGTTCGGACTCGTCGCTAGGTCTCCAGACCTAAGACATTTGAAATTTGTACTGAAATGGGGGTAATGTGTGTCAAAACAAGAGAGTCGCGGTAGGATGGGATAATTCGCATATAGAATTGGGTACCTAGGCACTGGAGGCGTTATTGAAATAATCATTTAAATCTGGTATTTCCAATCGAGGCACCCGTACATCAAAAAGTCTCACTTTAAATTTACCCGATCCCCCTTTTTCTCTCAGGGCAACATAACAAACAGGTCCATATAATGAATGGGATGTTTTCTTTTATATACCTACCTAGGTAGGTAATTGAAGTTTATCGATGAGCTGGGGTCTTTTAGTTCCTGGCAGACAATTTCTCAAGTATCCGCTATTTTTTCTATCTTCCTTAAGCAGAGAATAGGAACCGTCATCGGTGACGATGGCATGCTTAACGATATATCTCCTCGACTCGAGCAAAGAAGCATCTTTTCTGCACCTACGCCTATGAAATAGAGGCGCGATACTGTAGAGAAAGACTAGTCGTTTGTATGGGATAATGACATTTCTTTGCAAATGCAGACGTCTACATATACTTGCTTTTTTATGCAATACGAGATATCGAGTATACAGGAAGACTACGTCGCCTATGTCGAGTAACATGTGGAGGCTCATTTGCCCTTGCCTTTCTTGGCCTTACCCAGTGCGGCCTCTCGTTTCTTCGCTTCCTTGGCATCGATCTCAGCCTTCCGAGCCTTCTCCAAGGCCTCTCGTTCTTCCCTTTCAGCCTGGACTTTTGTGTCAGTGACTTGAAATACCCGACATTTAACAGATAGGAATGGGTACGTACTGCTTTCCGGGCAGCCTCTGCCTCTCGCTTCTCCCGTATGAGCTTCAGCCGAGCCATGTCGGCCTTGGCCTCATCTGTCTTGCCGGCCTCGTGCAGCTTGCGGTAGCGTTCTTTAGCCTGTGCGGCCTCCATGGATTCCCGCTCTCTTCTGCTCATGGCGACTTTCTTGACGCCCTCGGTAATCTCCTCGACGTCAGGCTGGGCCTTGGTCATATTCCGCGAGGCTTTGGAATGGTTCGGGTTGGCAGGCATCTCGTCATCGCTCTCCTCCTCGGAGTCGGTGGGCATGTCGCCAACTTGCACGGCGCCCCTCTTCTTCTTAGCTATGAGAGCCTCCTTCTGGGCTTTCTTGGCCTGTCTACGCTCTTCTCTGCTCAACTCATTTTGGGCTTGGTTGGAGGGGCCGGCATCCGATCCCTCGTCCGAGTCCTCGTCGGAATCCTCTTCGCTGCTGTCCTCATCTTCATCTTCGTTCTTCTTGGCCTCTTCGCTCCACATGCTGACCTCATTACCTTCTGCATCAAGGGGCCGAAGATCTCTGGAAAAGTGCTTTCCGCCTATGGGTTTTCATCCAAACGTATGGTTAGAGAATTGTTCCTTGCACCAAAAGAGAAGAAAGAAGGGGGGGAAGGGCGGAAGAATTAATCTCTAATTACCTCCTCGAGTGAACTTCTTGAATTTTCCACCACGACCACGAGAGTTCCCTCCTGGCGCTCTGCTCGACATGATGGCGGTTGGCGTCTTTTGGTTAAGTGCACTTCTGTAGTTAGTAGGATGGAGGGGCAGTTTCTGTTGATAGGTACTGTAGTTCTTAGCTGCCTCGATGGTGTTTTGTTACAAATTTTGGATCCGAGTCAAACGTAACAAATGATTTGTCTAAGAAAAAGAAAGGAAAAGACAAGAAAAGTCAACGCCGACAAAGATGACATGTGCGTTTGTAGGAGGGGCAAAAGTCATCTCCAAACAAGGTGATATCTAAAACAGCAAGAGTGAATGGACGACTTTTAGCGGGGTAGATTAACTTCTAGGGAGTCACCATTGGCCGCTTGACTCAATTTGTGCCCCGCCATCTACCGGTAAGGTAGTACCTACCTACATTTATGTACCCAGGTTAAGTAGTAGCGCCACCTAATCTCTCGGTGTGCACCAAGCAAACAGTACTAAGGTTAGAGACTAGACCCAAAGTTCAAAACGTCAGGTCTAAGTACTTAAATACTTACTCCGCGCTATCGCAGGAAGAAAGAAGCTCCGTTCTTCCGCTCTGTGGGCCCAGCCTGCCCTGCCCGAGTGGTCTTAGATCCATCCAATTAAGTAAGTACTTACTAACCTAGGTAGTGGGTCCACATTAGCCTACCTCTAAATTCTGCAGAACCTTTCTTGATTTTCTCATCTCTTCTTTTCTTCTTTTTTTTTTCCTCATCATAAAACACACTCCTCCATATTCACTCTGGCTTTTGTCAACTCTTCGGAGTTCAATGGCAGGTCTTGGAGGGGAAACTGGAGGACAGAGGAATATTTCTTTGAATTTTCGATCACTTACCCTCTGGCCCGTTGCAGATTTTATCTGCCGTTGGGTACCAGAGAAATTATCGTATCGAGACATGCACCACACCGTCAAGCCTTCAGCCTTGATACACATACCTATGACCCAGTAACTGCTGTTATTTCCTGTCTATTATATCTTTGCCAGCTCATACGAATACCTACAAGTTCGTACGCATTCATACTCTGAGCCCCCCATCAGCCTGAAGTGACGGGGCCAGTAGCAGAGTCCAGTGGCATCTTCACCACCCATTCGTCGATATCACCTATACACTATAGACGAAGTAATGCATAAGTCTGATCCCACGGTTCGCAGTGCTGTCGTCGGACTCTGGGGGGATTACGTTGAAACAGGAAAGGTCTCTAATCAATCGTGTCGAGTCTTGAATGAGAATTGGAATCGCGGCCTAGGTCTCTTGCTGCAACCATGGGGTTGATTTTGGCCTGGACATAGACAGAGTGTAGGACAGACAGAGTGTAGACAGTAGGTTGGTGTTATAGGATGCCAGGTTCATACATTGAACGATAAACCCTCCACTCTATAGTGAAGATTTGATAACATCATCACGTCCATATAGGTATCATGCCCCGTTCCAAGTGTTTTCAAGGTATTAAGGGTCCACGACGGACAGCCCAGGAAAGAAATCCGCCATAAAACTCTACCAGCTCGACACATCAGCGAGCCTGCCGATGGGATGCATGCAAAGGGCATTGTCGTCTTTCATACGTTAAGCATACTATGATGAATCAGTTACTAACCAATATCTTATATTTTCATAATTTTCATCACGATATTACCATCCCTGGATAATCTTCATGTTGTTAGAGATTGCCTTTTCACTTCCGCCTTGAATTATTTTGTTTTATAGCCCTGTCTCTTTCTGCTTTCCTTTCGAAATCACACCATCATTAAGGGTAGAGCTTGCAGCTACAGGTATATCTCCTTCGTCTTATAAATATTCCAGTTTACCTACCAAGTTATTCTCCTTCTGCCTCTTACGTAAAGAGATACTAACAACTCCAGTTCCCACATTTGAGCCCGCGTGTAAGAAGTTCTCTCCAGCAATATATAAGGACCCCACACCACAGCCGTTTAGTTAGCAAAGGAGGGGGGAAAAAGAGAAAACAGAAAAGGTTTTTTTTTCTTCTTCTTCTGAACCGTCTAATTATTTGTGTGGTTAAGACAGTAAAAACCTCAATCCGAATTGGTGTAGTGGCTAACATTTGACGCTCTCAAGTCGCTGGTACTCGAGCTAGCTTCTGGACGATCCGTCAAGCCCGGGGTTCGATTCCCCGATTCGGAGTACAAATCTCTTCAAAGAAAAATTCATTATTTTTTTTCTGATACCTTTCTTTTTGGCCTCATTTTTATGTCTATGTTTGGTATATGTTTTATTCAATGTACCTTTTTTTTTTTTTTTTTCTTTTTTTTTTTTTTTACAGCTAAGAGTTCCCGATATTGGCTATTTATCTAGGTTCGGTACCTACTTAAGTTAACTCAAAGCACTTTGAATTCCGTGCCGTAGAGATGGATTTTCACAACTCGGCTTTTTGCCTATAAGTAAGGATATTGTCGGTGCAAGGGTGAGGTGGTGTTAAAGAGATAGTATCATACACAAGGGCTATCCATGATTTCCGAATCAGTCATATCAATCAAGACTTGAATGGACGATAGGAGTTCCACTGACATTGTATAGTACCTATATCAGTCTCCCCCAAGTAGCTATTCTCCTACAACGATAATGGGGGCATTACCATAGTATTAAAGCTGCAACTAAAGGTTCACTCGGTGAACTAAGGACTGACCGGGAATGTAGGACTGTTAACATAAAATGGTCATATCCCGTTCGTTCTTCCAAAGCTTGATTCTTTCAGCTGCAAATAGATAATGTACTGATGCATATAGGTAGTTGGTGGGAAAGGAGAACGTCAAGGAGTCGCGATATAGATACTCCAGGTTGGTCAAACCGTCCATCCTATCAAGCCAGCGGCCTGGCCTACCTGATCTTTGGCTTCAACCTAGACCTCCAAGTCTCTTATTCAGATTATCTATTTATATGTACCCAGCCAACTAAGTACAGATTCCAGGCGGACGGGCATAGCTCGCCCCCAACATAACATAATACCCAGGTAACATACTAACCTTACCTATATCAAACTGGCTGACAGAAGGGTTTCTATTATATATACACGATTTGCGCGTCTATTGGTGCTGGCCAACTAGGTACCTAAGGTTAAACTACTTGCCCGTATCATCGTAGTGATGCCCCCTTCAATCTCTAGTTAACCACATGCATATTGATGTACCTACCTTTGTAGCCATGTAGACAGGTGGTAGGTAGGTATGTAGTAAGCTTCTTTGCGTGGTTCGGGTCTAGAGATCGGCTAACCCTCCGGTTTCATGGGCAATCGTGTCAGGTAAGAGTCCGCATTGCATTTCTACAGTCGTGGCTTGGACACATTAAATTCTCACATATTGATTCGATCATTAGGTGCTACCCCGGCCTACCTAGCTACTTAATCTAATTATTTTCAGTTTAACATGGTTTACCAATATCAAATGTAAGTAGATAGGTAGGTAGGTAGGTAACCTCGAAGCCAAGTTTGGAGGCTCGCTCACTACATACATAGGACTGATTAGGCGAAGTATGTAGCCCTAGATGAAGTTAGCGTAGGTTTCCAGAATCGTCAATGTATTTACGAGTCTGTAACTGTACCTGCATCAAATGGGCTGTGAGTCTGGTACGGGGAATTAGTTAGAACCTTGAGCTAAGCGTAGCTTAGCTTGATTATATGCGGTATGATGTCCCGGGAATAGAGGTGCATTTGATACACATGAGTATCTATTACTAGCAAGGTTCCAGGTAAGTTCTTATCAGGCACATCATATTTTCGTTTTTATCTGAAAGAGTTGTAGGAGTCGACAATGATGAAGCAGTTGTCTTAATAAGACGGAGCTCTGCGATTCCAAAATGCTTGATTTTCTCAAATCATGAGAAAGATCACCGTTGATCTCGTCACGCAACATGGAAGTGTGCACATACATTGGGGAGGGGGAGGGGGTAGTATGTTATATTCCAATTCCTCTAGACTTGTTCGACTCGCGTCCCATCAGATGAACGAAATTGGCAACTACCTATGTAGCGTGGGCTTGACTGGGTAAACTATCCCATGCACCCCTCCCCCTTTTAAGCTACAATGCGTGCGGCCGGGTCGAGGTCCTCGCGATCCACGTTCTACCTATGCCGATCCGGGCGACAGCAACCGAGCCATGCCCCTCTCAACCTGTCTGTAGTTGATAGATAGGAACTACAATACGCCACAAGGTATCGATATCGATTTATCTTGAAATACCACCCCCCCGTTCCTGGGTTGAAAAAAAAAACAAGGCTTTGGGTAGCATGGCACATCAGGGTTTGTTCCAATACGAGCAGCCATGAAACATGAAACAGTGAGCCATCCCCCAGAGCAACGCAGCTAGTCCATAATCGCATCGAACTGCGGTGCCATTCAGCGATCTCGTCACGGTTGTAGATATTGCCAATCGTTTCTTTCTCTCTACCCACCTGAAACCGATGGCGGGCTGGCTACGTAGGTTAGGTAGGTAGGTAGGTATGTAGAAGTCGAGGTTAAAGCTAACAAGCTGCGATACAACGTGCCGGTGGCTGGAGGGCTCTGGTGTTGGCTTTTTTTTGCAGGACGACCGCCGTGAATAACTTCGTGACAGGGGGGAAGGGGGGGTTCTGCTAACGGATTGCACGTAACGTCTGGGCGCGTCTAGATTCTAGAGTTTACCACCACCACCACATACCCCGTTGTCGAGCTATTTTCAGCTACGAGAGACTCTGCTATTGCTAGTTGTATTAATGCTCCTACTATTGATGTTATCAAGAGGACGTTGTGAGGGAGGGTATCATCCTGTCTAGGTTGTTGGTGGTCGCCTGTCGCTCCCGAGCTCGCTGCGTGCCAATATGTGAGTAGTAATTATGATACGAGCATGCCCTAGGAGCGTATTTACTTGATATATCGTGAAGTTCCCCCATTAAACCAAAATTCCATTCTCATGATGGTGAAGAAAATGATGTCGAGCTTGCCATTCCTTCCCTACGCCTCCTAAAGCTGGACGATATTGAGTCGTCCGTGTCATTCGTTTAAACTGTTTATGTTGAACAGATGTGTTGATTTTACACACTATACTCATATCTCATACATTTCATTCCTTCAAATCCAATTTTATACGTATTATATAATATATAATCATCATGTGGCGGGCTGGGTTTATAAAGACACTCTTTACTCTCCTTATAGCTTCTGTTTTGGGTGCCGCGACTCCTCCTCATAATCACAAGAGAAATTGCCCCATCGGCAAATGCGATTTCCATCCCTCAAAGAGTTACAAGTGCTGGGGCGAGCACTTGCTTTCGACAAATTGGTACGACGAGATACCGGACACAGGCACAACCCGGGAATACTGGCTCGAGATTCAGAATGGCACCGCTGCGGTCGATGGCGTCAAGCGTATGGTGCTGACGGTGAACGGATCAGTGCCAGGACCGACCATCTTCGCCGATTGGGGTGACAACGTCGTGGTCCATGTGCGTAACGCTCTTCAGGACAACGGCACTAGCATCCATTGGCACGGCCTTCGTCAGAATTACACGACGCAGCACGACGGCGTTGCATCTATCACCCAGTGCCCCGTTGCGCCAGGGGACACGATCACGTACCGATTCCGCGCTGAGCAATATGGGCACTCATGGTACCACAGTCACTTCGCGCTACAGGCATGGAACGGCGTGTTCGGTGGTATAGTCATCAACGGGCCTTGCTCGGCGCCATATGACGAGGATATGGGAGTCCTCTTCCTGAACGACTGGTTCCATAACACGACCGATGCACTCTGGGGTACGGCTGCAACCGGCCTGCCGCCCACAGCCCAGAACGGCCTCATCAATGGGACCAACGTGTATGGCGACGGGGGAAAGAGATTCGAGACGGAATTTACGGCGGGGAAACGCCACCGACTGCGCCTGGTAAACGGTGCCATCGACACTCATTTTAAGTTCATGATCGACAACCACAAGATCAAAGTTATCGCCGCCGATCTGGTTCCTATTAAGCCGTATGTTACCGAAGTCCTCAGTATTGGCATCGGCCAGCGCTACGACGTGATCGTTGAAGCGGACCAGGATGAGGGTGACTTTTGGCTCCGCGCATACCCAGACATGGCATGCAGTGCTGAGAACGAGATGGTCGCCAATATCAGAGGCATCGTGCGGTACGATGCCTCCTCCCAAGACGACCCCACCACGGCCCCATACCAGTACACCGAAGACTGCGCCGATGAGCCCATGTCTAGCCTGGTGCCGTACGTGGCGCTCGACGCCGAGAGTCCCACCGCCAAGGAGGCCTTCGAGCTAGGCCGGACGACCGCCGGCCACGGGATGTTCAAGTGGACGCTCGACGGGCAGGACATAACGTCGGACTGGGGGGTGCCGACGCTGAAGCAGAGCCTGGTCGACGTGTCGGCGTTCGCGTCGGAGCAGAACGTCGTCTCGCTCGACGAGAAGGACGCCTGGGTGTACTTCGTGATCGAGAACGGCGCCGGCGCGCTGGGCCTGACGCACCCGGTCCACCTGCACGGGCACGACTTCTGGGTGCTCGCGCAGGAGGCAAACGCAAACTACACGGATGCCGCGCCGCTCCGGCTGGCAAACCCGCCGCGCAGAGACGTGGCCATGTTGCCCAAGAACGGGTACCTGGTGATCGGGTTCGTGACGGATAACCCGGGCGTGTGGCTCATGCACTGTCATGTAAGAAGTTCCCTGACAGACACACACACACACATCTCGCTAGGTACTGACTATTCTGGGTATAAATAACTGACTGTTCGGTAGATTGGCTGGCATGCATCTCAGGGGTTCGGTCTCCAGGTGGTCGAGCGTGAGGTGGAGATCCCACCGCTCTGCGATGTTGACAGCCTTGATTCGACATGTGCGAACTGGGCCAAGTACGTAGAGGCGACGAAAGTGGTTCAAGACGATTCTGGTATATAGGGAGAGTGACCTACCTAGGTGCCTATACCTACCGGTAACATGTTTGCGGAAGAGGGCAATCTGCATACGCGCCATCCGGTTCCCACCGCTACAAATAATAAAAAAGGCACATTCACGATGATTTAGATGTTTGGTTCATACAATCCCGATGATGACTGTATACGACTGACGGGTAGGGAATAGGGGGTAAAGTAGGAGGGGATATGGGGTCATAGAGAACTTGGATGGCTCTAAAGGTTAGTGGTTGA